GAATGCTCTGAATTCCAAATAGGATCAACTTCTCTTCTGTCATCTACTTTGTCTCTCCCTTTCCCCAGCTCCTTCCTTCCTCTCCCCCTTTATGCTGCCCACATATTTCTACTCCTTGGTCTATCTTCCATCTGGAAGCCCTCTCTGGTTACAGCCAGGCAGCTGCTCTTCTCTCCATCAGAGGTGCTGCACAGTAACACAGACAAGAGGGTCTCTGCCATGAACTGGAGACCAGGAACCTCCTCACTGCAAATTATAGCACACCAACTTTGCAAATGGTGGTCGTTTCTTCCAAGATCTCAGCCCTGCTGGGAAGGAGCAGGAAAAGTCCAAAATATCCAAGACAGTGCCAAGTGACCTGCAGAGTGAGGACATGGGGAGCCCGAACCAAAAATAGGAGATGGGGAGAAACCCGCAAAACACTGGCCAGAGCTCCATCTTGCCCCAGGCAGCCTACCGAGGTGCCAGGGGAGCAAGGGGTGAGAACTGGGCCACACACCTGCTTTAAAACACCTCCCTTCTATATCTGGCCCAGATGGGTCCCTTACACTCTCTCCCCCACTCATCCTTTTTCTCCCATCTTCATACCTATTGGAGTGTCCACTGTTGTCTTCAACAACTACTACTTGATGGTCTGTCAGACACAGAGAAACAAGCTGGGTGCTAATTAATAATACTACAAGTTTCCACGTGCCACCTCTTGTCCCTTTTCCTTTCTGTATTTCCTTCATTATTCCTTCACCTCTCTCTTCCTCTACCCCAGTCTCCTTACCCTGGAGGTTAGCCCTCAGGAAAACCAAACAGAGAAAGACCTTGGGTGGAAAGGCCATTTATTTACATTCCAAGACCTTCACTGCCTTATCTGCTTTCTTTCCTCTGCTGCCTTCTCCCCTCCCTTCCTTCCCTCTCCTGAGGGTATGGATCCAAGAGAAAGATCCATCTCCTCCCCTGCCACAGTGGGCTCATCGGGAAAGAAGCCAAGCGACTGACCCAAGATCGCCCAGCATTTATGGGGACTGCCCAGGCAGAGCCCCTTGCCCCTGTAGCCCCCCCAGTGACCCAAAAGGTCCTCTTTCTCCCCAAAGCAGACGTCGCAGATAGGGCAACAGTAGAGCTTCTGCTTCCAGTGAGTCTGCTGGTGCCTGACCAGCCCAGAGAATAAAGTGAAGGACTTGCCGCAGTGGAAGCAGCGGTTGGACTGTTCTGTGAAGTGGGCCTTCTGGTGGCTGGAGAGACAGCTTTTCTTGCTAAAAGTCAAGGGACAATGAGGGCAAGAGAAGACCTTGAGTCTTGAAGGCTTTCCTGGGTGAGAGCTGGACTTGGTATCCAGGCAGGCAGTTCTCGTGTTGGCTGCCTGGGTCCTGGTCACAGGCTCTGCAGTTTTAACGACTGGGTGCTGAGCCTTCCCAGTGACTACCTGGTTCTTGGTTGCAGGTGCTGGGCTCCTGTCTATAGATGGCTGGGTCTGAGCCTCGGGACTGGTGGTTTTAAATGAGGGTCCTTGGGTCCCGGCCACTGGTGCATTGTTTGCAGTTGCCAGCCCCTGGAATCCAGCTGGAATCTTCAGGATATGCTTCTGGTTTCCAGCCTCCAGCTCCTGGCCTTGGTGTATCTTCTGGTGGCGTTTGAGCTCAGACTGGTCCCGAAAGCACTTCCCACAGAAGGGACACGAGTGGGGCCGGTAACCCAGATGGACACGGCGGTGACGGCTCAGTCCAGAAGCATCACAGTAGGTCTTGTCACAGAGCGAGCAGCAGAAGGGCCTCTCCCCAAGGTGCTTGCGCCGGTGGTAGCTGAGGTCCTTGGGGTTCAGGAAGGACTTCCCGCACTGGCCGCAGCTGTGAACAAACTGGTGGTTGTAGAGGCTGGAGCGCTTGCTGAAGCACCTGCCACAGGTATGGCAGGTAAAGGGTGGCCCAGCCCAGGATGCTGGGAACACTGGTGTCCTGTCCAGGGACCCAGCTGCAGCAGAGGATGGGCCTGCCCTTCTGCAAGCAAGGGAGACCTTCTTGTCATCGCTGCTTCCCTCATCTCCCAAACTCTGACTCTGTTCTTGAAGTTCCTCTCTCTTGCCTCCTGTAGGGAATGAGGAAGAACAGTGAGATTCACCATGGCAACCCCAACACAAGCTCTCAGTCCAAGCTGCTTCCCCTCTTTCTGCCCTCCCTCTCCCACCTGACGTTCACGCTCACTCTTAGACCTCAGAGGCCAGAGATAAGAATACACTTTGGGGTTTTCCAATTAAAAGCAAATAAAAATTTAACTGGAATCTTCCAAAAATATCAGAGATCAAAATTTTAACCACATTTCTTGAAATCCATTTCCTTTCATTTTTTTTTTAAATTGAAGTATAGTTGATTTACCATGTGTTAATTCCTCTCATTTTCAATTTTGCTCGTACTCTCAGACACCCCAGATACCTACAGGTGACCTCATAATATATCATGCAAATTGGGACACTTGAATGACGGGAGATGCCATTAACAATCAAGCTAGGATGAGAAGCATAAACCAGGACTGTCCTGGCAAACCAGGATTGTGGTCAGCTCAGACTTAAATTTCTCTCAAGTCCTTATTCTACTCTTAAGAACAAGTCTCCCCTGCTCCAACTCAGCATCAAGCTCATCTCCTTTCCCTTTCTTTTCTTTTGGAAAGGACTCTAAAAAATTTACTTATTTATTTTGGCTGCGCCAGATCTTGGTTGCAGCATGTGGGATCTTTTAGTTGCGGCACGCGTGTGGGATCTAGTTCCCGACCCAGGGATCAAACTCGGGCCCCCTGCATTGGGAGCATGGAGTCTTACCCACTGGACCACCAGGGAAGTCCCGGAAAGGACTTTTTAATCAAGGCGGTATCACTGACATAAGCAACTGACATGAAATCTCTCCATCTCTAGAAACTGAAGATATTCATTTGTCCTGAATGGCTTAAATACTCATCTTCTTGAAGCCAGGAGACTTGAGCAGATGATGTCAAGGTTTCTTCCAGCTCCACGTCTGACCAGGCAGGAAGGATGCAGGCTCAGGGCGGGTATGCAGACCCCGATCCTCTTAGTCATTTCCATCCTCCCAAGGCATGTCCTGGGTTCTTTTCACCCTCCTCTCTCCTTTGCAATTCTTACCTGAATGAAGGCCTTCTCCGTTTGGGGGACGGAGACCTGCTCTCCACTGTTTCTCTTCTTGTTCAAACTTGGCGATCAGGTCTGGATTAGACAGAAAGATTCTGACTGGGGAGTGGGAAGGAGAGGAAGAGTTGAAGTCCCAGGCTCGGCCCCTTCACACCTGATGGGGACAACAGGCTACCTTCTTCCGTTATCTTTGGTTTAAGAGCCATAATCTGGGACACTTAGGTGCAGGTAGGAGACCAGCAAAAGGCCAGCTCTTAACAAAGTGCCTGGTATATAATAGGAGTGACTCAGTAAATACTAGCTGGATGAATAGGCAGATCTGCATACTTTGAGAACATTATCATCATGTCACAAGCCTTATCTTTGCCTTCATGCAAGCTTTCATTTCTTCTTTCACCCTGAGCCTAGAAACCCAGATCTTGCATACCTGGAACGTATAGAACCAAGGATCAGTGAAGCTAATTGTGAGCTCATCTACCTGCCCAGGGAAACATGATGTCCCAGAGGCCTGGGACAGAGGCCTTGTGAGGAACCCCAGCCTCTTACCCACAGACATCAGGTTTCTGAAGGTCTCTGACATAACGTCCTGGTAGAGGACCCTCTGACTGGCGTCTAGACATTCCCACTCTTCCTGGTTGAAATTCACTGCCACATCCTCAGAGGTGACTGGCTTCTGGAAGAACAGGAGAGATTCAGAGAGTCTGTATATAGACAGACAGACATCCAGTCTCAAGATTCAGACAACTAAGAGAAAAAGAAAAACATGGAAGGAAGGGATAAATAGGAAAAGACAAGTACAAAGCCAGCAGCTTTAATGTACAGACAGGAAAGGAAGGATGGAGAGGAGGGAAGAACAATGTGGGGGGAGAAAGGAGGGGTATATACTGAATATTAAGTAGGAAGAACGCAAAGGAAAAAGGGTGCCACTCTGATGAATTTCAGCAAGTACTCCTTGAAGGATGCCAGGGTGGTGTGGAGTCTGAAAAAAAGTCCTTGAAACCCCTTCTCCTGGGTGCTGTTCAGCTTGGAACACTCTTGAGATTCCATTTGTTCTGTAGACAGGATAATGGATGAAAGAGCTCCTGGAGTCCAGGACCCAGCCCCTCCCTCTGTCTCTCGCTTGGTCTCCTCACCTTCACCCACGCCTTCCACCAGCATTCTCCCTTCACGGCTTCCTGCAGGGCCTCCTCATCCACCTGAGGGAGCAACTTCTGTACAGGTTCAATTGGCTTCAGCAGGTCAAACACCACCTCTTCCCTGATGTCTCTTTCTAGCTTTATCCACTCCTGGTCTGGCCCCCAAGGCTGACTGGGCTCCTTCCTGGGGCTATCTACCTCCCAGTGACTGAGCAGATGGAGACTCTTTGAAAAGGCCCCAGGGTTTGATGTGGCCTCCAGGGGCAAAGGTATCTGCTCCAGGGGGCTGTCTTCCTTTTTTGTCCTGCTGTCCAAATTCTCCTCTTTCACAACTGAGAACATCTTTGGTTCTCTCCAAGCCTAGGCCTCAGAGTTCAGGAACCTGGTCACCCTCGGCTCAGCAGCCACGGTTCAGTAATGCCAGCTTGGGGCTCGGAAGGCGTCGTCTGCCTTCTGCTTCACCCTGTTTCTAGCCGCTGGCTGGTGCCCACCTCTAGGAACCTGAGGTCAGAGAGAAATCATATCAGCAAGAGGGGGAGTGAGTGAGGAACAGCAGTTTCCTAATTTGGTCAGGGAACACCAAGAGTTACTGAACTCCTGCTTTGTACCTAAAACCCCTCAGCACTGCCCCATGAGGTAACAATTAATGACCCCATTTTAAGGAACCTAAAGTACAGAGATGCTAAGTAATGTGCTCAAGGATACTCCTGGTCCACAGCAGAGTTTGTGTTCAAAGCCTTGACTCTACCACTGAGGACATGATTTCTGCTGTCCCAAAGCCCTCTCTAGAGCAACATTACAGTATTCTGGAAAGAAAGCATGTGCCTGAGGTAACCAGCCCTGGATCTGTCACAAACCACCTTGTACAAGTTTCTTCATTCTGATCTGGTTTTATTGGAAAGTAAGATTAAAGGAGACTCTGTAAGATCCCATCCAGGACCCAAAAATATACGATTCTGTGGATTTTTAATACATACAGATACTTGTAAAGAATGATAATGGAGGGACTTCCCTGGTGGTCCAGTGGTTAAGAGTCTTAGCTCTCACTGCAGGGGGCATAGGTTTGATCCCTGGTCCAGGAACTAAGATCCCACATGCCTTGAGGCATGGCCAAAGAAAAAAAAAGAATGATAATGGTAACAACCCAACAGCAAGTGCTTCTGCAGGGCTCCCAAGGATCCCAGGCACTGGGCTGCCTGCCCAGCCCAGGAAGTTCCTGCTCTGCCCACACATGGCTGAACTCCCACCTCCTCCTACTGACAGCCACTCACTCCGCTTCTCCTCCCTCCAGATGGAATGAAAAGAATGAAGACATAAAAACCTGTTGACTTTCTTCCTTTCACTTTTTTGAAAGGTGGTAGAATTGAAAATGCCAGCAAGGAAAAGGGCATTCAACAATGGAGTTAGTGGCATAGCTAAAAAGAAAGCTGACAGGAAAGGTGCATTCCTGGGAGGTGAAGTTGAGTCCCTCCTTCCCTCCCTCCCTTCCTTTCTTTCAAGACCATCCACAATCATTGCGTGAGAGGGGCAGGTCTGGATTATTCTCCTACCCTCCAGCCAAACACAATGAAAGTAACACTTCAAAACAGTCTCAGTAATAGTATCCTCAAGGTCTGGCTTTCCCGTTCTCCCGCAGGAAAGACCCACCCCTGTCAGTCATTCTCAAAAAGCATTTGCTGCGGGTGGTAGCCTGAGGCCCTCGGTCCAGATTCTAAGCTGGTTCTCTGGTTTGGGAAGGGAGCATGACTATGAAGACTGAAATTTCTGGCAGCTGCTGCCTGCCTCTGGCACTTTTATCTCGATAGTACTTTCTACATCCACACGCCCCAGAGCTCAAGCCGGCTGGGCCGCGATGGAATGAGGCTGGATATAACTTAACAGACTTTCGGCGCAGACCGGTTTATCTGTTCCCGGCCCGTCCCTGCCCTTCCAGAATGTAAATCCCTCGAGGGAATGTGTCGCCATTTTCCAGTTCTCTGAGTCCACCCGATCTCTCTCTAACCCCAAACCCGTCCATGGTTTCCCATAGCAATTCTGAGAACGACTGAAATCCCCACCACACCTGCCAGGCTTCGTGGAGTCCGCCCTCGCCTCCCCCCACCCCGGTGTTCCAGCCACTATTGTTTTCTGCCCTTCGGCCAAGCAAAAAGACCCTCGGACATTAGCCCTTCTCACCCGGTCTTCGGGTCTCTGCTCTGTCCTCAAGGACCCTTTGCAGCTCCTGCCCAGCTCTGCCGGACCAGATCGCGAGCCCACAGGGCGTACCTCCCGTCACTGCGCGCCCTGCCCCACACTCCGGTCTCGGGGCCTCCCGCGGGCAGGGACGGAGAGTTTCGCTCACCACTGCGTGGCACGCTCGTTAATACCCACTGGTTGGGGTTTCTGTGCCCTGAACTGGTCCCGTTGACTGGGACGGCACTGCCCGATGCCTGTCTGCCCCGAAACTTCGTTGCTGGGATCCCGACTTTTTCAGCACGTGCCAGGAGCCCGTCCTCTTCGCCGAGTCCCCCACGCGGCCGGAGTGGTCGGCGCCCTGGGCCATACCCTAACCCAGGTTTCCCCATGGGCCCCAGGGGTTGGAAGCTCCCCCAAGATGCGGGGCGCGATGCTCCCCTCGCCTGCCGAGGTCAGGGGCGGAAGGTTGCGGGACAAAGACCCTTCACTAACTTCCACCACCGCGAGCTCAACTACCCTCTGTCCTACTCACCCGCCGCTGCCGAGGACCGGGACTTTGGGACGTAGGGTTTCCGAGGGGCCAGCGGCGAGCCCGCTCCACTCCAGCGCACGTTTACCGGCTGCCCACGACCCCGTCCCGGCCCCACCAGTGCCTGGCACCGGCCTCGCTCTCCTCGCCTGTTTCCGCAAGGCCACCGTGCACCCTGCCGGGTTAAGCTTGTGGGCCCGCCAAGGTCGAGAGTTCACAGTCTAGGAAGCTTAAAAGGAAGAGGACTCGCCCCGCCCCACTAGCCCGTTCCTCCTACCAATTGCAGCCGCTGGTCCCACCTAGCGCTCGGATCTCATTCCCAGTCCTAATTTAGTCTTGGGGGGAAAAAAGGATTAAATTACCTCTGATTAAAACACATAATCACCAACCACCATCACCTAGAGCCCAAAGGAGAAAAATGAGACCCTTACGCACTCCCAGAAAGAGACTTGGAGGCACACAGCACCTTAAAAAAGCAAAGCAGGGGTTTCTGGTGGCGCAGTGGTTGAGATTCCGCCTGCCGATTCAGGGGACGCGGGTTCGTGCCCCGGTCTGGGAAGACCCCACATGCCGCCGAGCGGCTGGGACCGTGAGCCATGGCCGCTGAGCCTGCGCGTCCGGGGCCTGTGCTCCACAATGGGAAAGGCCACAACGGTGAGAGGCCCGCGTACCGCAAAAAAAAAAAAAAAAAAAAAAAAAAGGCAGGACTGCCCTGGTGGCACAGTGGTTAAGAATCCGCCAGCCAATGCAGGGCACAGAGGTTCGAGCTGTGGTCCAGGAAGATCCCACGTGCCACGGAACAACTAAGCCCGGGGGCCACGACTACTGAGCCTGCGCTCTAGAGCCCACAAGCCACAAATACTGAGCCCGTGAGCCACAGCTACTGAGCCTGTGCGCCACAGCTATTGAAGCCCACGCGCCTAGAGACCGTGCTCTGCAACAAAAGAAGGCACCACAAGGAAGAGAAGCCCCTGCTTGCTGCAACTAGAGAAAGCTTGTAAGCAGCAAGGAAGACCCAATGCAGCCATAAATAAATAAAATAAAATAAATTAATTTAAAAAAGAGAGAAAGAAAGAAAAGTGAAGGCAAACCACTGTGACTTAAATGATGACAGCAGACAGAGGTAGGGGAGCAGAGATGATATGTTCAGGTCAAGTTCTACTTACCTTGGCCACTTACCCAAACCCAGTTTGACCTTTATCAGTAATGCCTTTTTTTTCTTTTCTTTTTTTTTTGCGGTACGCAGGCCTCTCACTGTTGTGGCCTCTCCCGTTGCGGAGCTCAGGCTCCGGACGCGCAGGCTCAGCGGCCATGGCTCACGGGCCCAGCCGCTCCGCGGCATGTGGGATCTTCCCGGACCGGGGCACGAACCCGCGTCCCCTGCATCGGCAGGCGGACTCTCAACCACTGTGCCACCTGGGAAGCCCCTTTTGTTCCTTTTTAAATCAGCTCAACGGAAATCACATTTATTTCCTTTCCACTTAATTAGCATTTACCATATACCATTTTGTATCATGATCATACTTTTTTGTTTTGCGGTACGCGGACCTCTCACTGTTGTGGCCTCTCCCGTTGCGGAGCACAGGCTCCGGACCCGCAGGCTCAGCGGCCATGGCTCACGGCCCAGCTGCTCCGCGGCATGTGGGATCTTCCCGGACCAGGGCACAAACCCATGTCCCCTGCATCGGCAGGCAGACTCTCAACCACTGCGCCACCAGGGAAGCCCCTATGATCATATTTTATATTTCACATTGGCATGGGGTTTTGCAATTTACAAAACAAAAAAACTTGTAAACATAGCCTCCATTAAATCCTCACAAACATCTTGTGAGGTAGGAATTTGTTATTCTGTCTTCACAGATGAGGAAACAGGCTCAGAGATGTTCAGCCTTGCCAAAGCCCACATCTGGTTGTACTGGGACAGGAAACCAGAGCCCCTGCTTTCAAGTTTGTACACTGGAGTCTTGGATCCATGGTTAGTACTGGATGGCTGGCAGATGCAGGTTTTAAATCTCTTAGTGTTCCCAAGGTACCTGACCCTGTGATCTGCCCTTGTGGACAGACCATTCATGTGGGTGGGCTGAGGAGGCTCCCACAGGGTCAGATGGAGACAGTAGGCTGGTGGAGATGGTGATGGAGGCAGCCTGTGCTCAGTGGCAACCCTTAGGGTTCTGGACCTGCCACCTTCCTAACATGGTTACTGGGTACACTCATCTTGAAAAGCAGCATCAGCTTGCTACTGGGCTCCTATTGAAACTAAACACCTGACCCATGGAGGCCTTCTGACACTCTAGCTTAATGCTCACATTTGGGGGTAGGTCAACTTGGACTCAACTTCTAACAAAGTGGGAAGGACCCAATAATCTTCATTTGGAAATGGTATATTTAAGGATGTGGCCTGGCTTCAACATCTCTACTTTACATGGAAAAGTGGCAGATATCCCTCTGGGAAAATCTTTATCCCCTACTCTGCCAACTGAAGCAAAGATGCTGGTTCCATGGGGCTCTCAATTCACAGAGATTCCCTTAAATGCCTGGCACTGGTTCACCGTGGTTTGGCTAGGCTGAAACTCAGCGCTGTCCCTGGCTGATGCAGCCATTCAATCTCATTGCCAGTGATGCAGAGCCAAAAATGGAT